AATGAACAGACAATACAAAATCTATTCACATGAGAATATATATACATATTGCCAAAATAATTTACTTGCCATTCAAAGGTACATTTGAATGGGTACTCGCTTTCTTTGATTTATGGGGGTGAAACGCAATTTATTATGAGCCCATTTCTGCCACCTGTTCTTTCTCCCCAAATTAGATTATAAAGTGCTAAAGAAGAAACACTTGAAAAAAGTCAATGAGGTGTCAAGGTTATTACCCTCACTAGAATCGAGATGGGCCAACTGAAATAAGAAGGGTCCCTCTATTTCCCTGTTGTCAGCCAGTTTTCAAGGGGGTCTCATGTCTCTGATTTCCATCTCCACCTTGTGACTACTGGTTCTGTGTTTGGTCATCATCTCTATTTTGCCCACTTGACAAGAGAAGGATTTCGTGTTTGTGTGAAGCACTCATGCAGGGATTTAAAGCACTGAAACTGATGTGGACATTTTATAAGTGTATTCTTTCTGCCCAAGCCATAACATGTTTAGTTTTTGACCCTGTTTCGAGTTGCTGGAGTTATGGTATTAAGCATTAGAGGCATACACACACACATTATTGAGTTTACAGATATTAAGCTGTCTTGAGACACTTAATGGTTTTTGAAAATGTGTAATAATTGGAAGTCTCCACGCTGTCCTTTGAAGTAGGCATTATTTTATTTCCATTTTATAGATGGGGAAATTGGGGCAACAGAAATGCTAAGCAACTTGCCCAAGGTCACTGCTAGAAAATATTAATGAAAAAGCCAGAATTTGAACCCAGCACTGAAACTCCAGAATCTATACTCTTACCTCCTATATTATACTGCCCCCTAAAATGGGGATAGAAGTGTTTATTCAATTTTTCTTTCAGACTATTGAAAACTGAAATGATGGAATAAGATATATCGACCATTCAGGAAAATCCTTTTTGATTTTGAACCAGGTAACGTGCAAGGTCTACTTGCTGGCAATGGATATAGTCTCTCCACACCAAGGGCAAATGATCTGTTTACTATGAGCCTGTTAACCTTTCAACCCCAAAGATAGAGGATAAAAAAGATAAACCGAAAG